CCCTTCTTTTCCTCTGTGGATGATGCTTTTTGACTCCACAGATACCACTTGCCTTTTTTTTTTATGGTTAACCTCATCCTTCATAAACCTGTTTGCTGACAAGTCGACTTCCGAATATCTGAAATCATTCACTTTTTCCATACTCTCTCCCTCCATTGTGATATCCAATTTTTCTTTATCTAAATTGTTTGATACCCTCATTACCTTACTCCCCTCAAGGGAGGTTCCTTGACACTGGTGAGGGGCTCTTGTTCTTGGGAATTGGATCTGTACTCCTGTTCCCTGAATTGTGCCTGAATACCTTCCATCCCCCCCTCATGTGCTGTATAATCTTAGGGGTTTAGCACTCCTCCATAATTATAATTATGTATAAATTAATCATCACCTTATTCTTATCTCCGTTCACTTTCAACTTTCTACCTTTACACACACTTTTAGAATTAATTACATTATTTACCAAGTACAGTGGAACCTCGACTTCAGAGTTTAATCCATTCTGTGACCTAGCTTATAACTCAGTTTGCTTGTACAGTGGTCCCTCGCTTTTCGTAGTTCTCAGCAATCGTAAATTTCACCAATCATAGGGGTATTTTCGTATAAACACGGACTCGCTTTTCATAGGTTGACTCACGAATAGTAGTTCATCCGGGACGCGTACACACGGTGTGAGCCGGGGCGGCCTCCCTACCCAGCCAGTCTGGCATTGTTTACCAGTGAGTGAAGGTCCCCTCAAGTGCTCCTACGAAATATTTCATAATATTCCACTCATTTTAGTGCTTGCAATTACTAAATAAGCTACCATGGCTCCAAAGAAAGCTCCTAGTGCCAAGCCTGTGGTAAAGAAGGTTAGAAATATGTACAGTGACAAAGTCTTGGGCCATTTTCGGGAAGTGTTAGAGACGCCAGAAACAGAGCTCTCTCCACAGTTACTTTGCGAGACAGGACTAGAGTGACTCTCAAGGTGGTCCTAGTGGCATTAAGAAACAGAGAAGAGAAGCAACCCCAGAGAAGCAATTGGTACCTGAGGTGTTGCTGGAAGGGGATTCCCCTTCCAAACTGTAAACAATCCAATCTCTCTCCTCCTCCAGTCTTCCATACACTAAGAAGAATCTCCAATAAAGGTAAGTGTTATGCTGTTAATGTTTCATTCATCATTTCCCATTGTATTGTTTATGTACTATATGTATATTTCATGTAAAAAAATTTTTTGTTTTAATACTTCTGGGTGTCAGGAACGGATTAATTGTATTTACATTATTTCTTATGGGGAAAATTGATTCGCAAATCGTAAATTTCGTTTATAGTAACGGCTCCAGGAACGGATTAATTACGAAAAACGAGGGACCACTGTATATCAAATAAATTTTCCTCATTTAATGTGTTTCAGCAGAATTCCTGCTCTCAGGAGGCAAAACATAATACTTCAGTATGACATTAATATCAACTCTATGGTTTATTTATTTATCACAATTCATGTAATATGACATAATAAGCAATATAAATAACATAGAAACATGATATATACCCTAGAATGAATAAAATATGTCATTATATGACTAGTGGTGGCAGCGGCAACCAGCCCCACTCGTGCTGACTATATCTTCCCATGTTCTTATTATAAGAGAAAACAGAGTATTTGTGAGGCTAACTACACTAGATCACAAGTTTTATAAGGAAAACACTAAAACCATGTATTTATAAATAAGAAATATTGTATAAAAACATAATAGAGAATGTAAAGAAATAAACTGGTTTTATAAAACCAAAGTGTACGTACACTGGCAGAGGTGGAGGGTGGAAGATAGGCTACTTACTACTAGCTCGTACTGCCTTGCAAACAACCTGCACATTTCACTTGTTTATCTGTGATTTCTTGCTGTAATTCCATGGACATCATCCTCTTTTTCTTCTAAGCACTCTTTTGCTCTTAATTTCTTAGGACCCATGGTTAGAATAAAGAATTTTGGCGTTTGCTGCGCCACCCAGTGGCGGTGTTCTGAAAATCGCTCATTATTCTTATTATTGATTTAGGGAACTGGAGTTCAGATCCAATTCCCTAGATCAAGAGCCCCTTACCAACGTCAAGGAACCTTAACACTGGTGAGGGGCTCTTGATCTAAGGAATTGGATCAGTGCTCCAGTTCCCTTAATTAATAATGATAATAATAATAATAATAATAACAAGGAGCTTTAGAATGCTGCCAACTCAGTGCACTTTTTACCTCGCTGTGGAAGCATTTCTCTTGTGTTTGTTTGCATTTTGTGCAGTTATTTTGCCAATTTTTTTTTTTCTAACCATGAGTCCTAAGAAAGTAAGTGCAAAGGACAGTGCTGAGAAGAAAAAGAGGATGATGTCCATGGAAGTAAAGCATGAAATCATCGATAAACACAAGTGAGATGTGGACTTGGCCAGGGAGTACCAGTGTAGCACTTCCACAATATGTAGAATACCAAAGCAGAAGGAGTCTGTAAAGGCCATATCGCTACCAAAGGGCGTTACAGTAATTTCTAAGCAGCGGACCTCTGTCCAAGAAAAGATGGAGAAGCTGCTGTTGATGTGGGTGATGGAGATGCAGCTTGCAGGAGATACCGTGACTGAGGGTATCATCTGTGAGAAGGCATGAGGCATTTATGCTGATTTGCTGCAGAAGACCCCAGGCACTTAAATGGATGAGGCATTGGAAAAGTCATTTAAAGTCAGTCTGGGCTGGTTCGAAAAGTTTAAAAGGACTGGTATTCACTTTGTCATCAGGCATGGTGAGGGAGCAAGCGAGCTCTGATGTGAAGGCAGCTGAGGATTTTCTCAAAACTTTTGCAGAAATGATAACTGCTGAAGGATACATCCCTCAGCAAGTCTTCAACTGTGACGAGACAGGGCTCTTCTGGAAGGAGATGCCAAGGAGGACTTACATAAATGCAGAGAAGAAGATGCAAGGCCACAAACCCAAGTAGGGCAGGTTAACCCTTGCACTGTGCGCCAATGAGAGTGGTGACTGCAGGATCAAGCCGCTGCTTGTATATCATTTGGAAAACCCCAGAGCCTTTAAGTCACATAAGATTCTAAAAGAAAAACTGGAGGTTATGTGGAGGGCAAACCCGAAGGCATGGGTCACCAGGCAGTTCTTTGTGGAGTGGGTAAACCTGGTCTTTGGTCCTGCCATTAAGATGTATCTCCAGGAAAATAACCTGCCCTTGCAAGCCCTTCTCATCCTGGACAATGCACCTGCTCACTCACTGAACCTTGAAGATGACATCCTCGAAGAGTTTAAGTTTATAAAGGTTCTATAGCTTCCACCCAACACGACCCCTATCCTGCAGCCCATGGACCAGCAGGTGATTCTTAATTTCAAGAAGCTCTTCACCAAGCACCTGTTCTGCTGCTGCTTTGATGTGACAGAGAGCACAAACTTGACCCTTTGAGAGTTCTGGAAGGACCACTGTAATATTGTGATATGCCTCAGAATTATAAATATGGCCTGGCAGGGTGTTACAAGGATGACCCTGACCTCTGCGTGGAAGAAGCTGTGGCTTGAGGTTGTGTCCAAAAGGGACTTCGAAGAATTCGAACCCAAAGCGAATGTGGTGGAGGAGACTGTCCCTCGAAAAGTCCATGGGCATGGGAGGTGAATGAAGATGATGTGAACAGGCTCATCGAGGAGCACTCCGAGGAGCTGACGACGAAGGAGTTAGATGAACTACATATGCAGCAACATCAGGAGGTTTTGCAGGACATTCGTACTGCAGAGGCGCCAGATGTCGAAGAGGTTATCTCTACAAATGAGATAAAGGAAATGTTGGGAATCTGGGAAACTTTCAGACTTTATTGAAAGGAAACACCCAGAGAAAGTTGCAACTGGTTGTGCATTGGAGCTATGTAATGACACTTGCCTAACTCGTTTCTGAAACATTCTGAAAGGGAGGATGAAACAAACCTCCTTGGACAGGTTTTTATTGAAATGCTGCAGATGAAAGTGTGAAAAGCATGGAGAAAAAGCCAAAAATCAGTGAAAAGTGAAGTGAAAAAAAAAATTGTAACAGTTAAGTTCAATGATAAGGTGTAGGTAGTATTAAGAGTGTAGCAAGTAAGTTAAGTGATTAAGTGATAGAAAAAGGACAAAACAAAATGAACTCCTTCAATGTTGTTGTTGTTGTTGTTCTTGGGGTTTATAGGGCCACTGACAGCATATGCCATTTTGCCTGTCTTTTCCACCGTCAGCCTTCACCAGCATCTCTTTTCCAAGGTAAATGCTGTACGTAAACCATTTTATTTCTTTACATTCTCTCTTGTGTTTTATTATGTTTTTATACAATATTTCTTATTTCAGTGTTTCCCTTATGAAACTAATGACCTAGTGCAGTTAGCCTCACAATCACTTCGTTTTCTCTTATAATAACACCTCAGAAGGGAAGCATGGGAAGATGTTTTCAGAGCGGGAGCGGGAATGGCCGCCACCACTTGTCAAATAATGACATATTTTATTCATTCTAGAGTATATATCAAGTTTCTATGTTATTTATATTGTTTATTGTGTCATATTAGATGAAGTGTGATAGATTAATAAGTGTTATGTTGAAGTATTTTGCCCTGCCTCCTGAGACCAAGAATTCCACTGGTACAGATGAATGGCATTTCAGTTAATTTAAATGAGGAAAATTGACTCGGCATATGAACAGATCGGCTTACGAGCTAGGTCACGGAACGGATTAAACTCGTAAGCAGAGGTTCCACCATATTAGGATTTTGGGAAAAATGTGAAATTTATAGCAGTGATTAAAACATGAGGATCTCTGATATTAGAAAACTACAGTTAACTTAAAATGGCAATAGTAATTGTGCAGCATATTGTAGAATGTAGCATTTCTGACATTGTAGAAAGTGATGTTGATATTTATAATTTTGCATAACTTTCTTCCACAAAAACTAAGATGTTTTAGTGTCATTGTTTAAAATGTCAGATTAATATTTGACTTATGCTTTAGCAATTTGTTTACCTTTGCAGATACGAGTGTTGTTGAGCAGAGTGTCCTGACAAGTATGGGTCTGGCTGCTTTAGCAGAGGTAGCACTAAGTCAACCAATTATGAAACTTTGAGCAGAATTTATTGGTAAAGAAAACCAAGTTTTAAGTACACTAAAGGTACCAGTGTTTGTACATTACAAAGTATACTGGCACACTCTTAAGTCAATTGTTTTAGTCGTTATTTATACAGACATTGCAGCCTAATATTCAAAAGTCATTTTAAACTTACCAAACTGTTAAAAGCTTAAACAAAAAATGGAGTATAATTTTCAAAAAGTTTGAAACGGTTCCATTATCATACATCCTGTGTTGAACTGATTGATCTTCAAATTGTCCAGTTCAAATAGTTCAATACAATTCAAATCCCAATTGTATTAATGAAAGTTTGAATTTCTTTTTCTTCAGAATTTTATAATTTTTATTTCACTGATCAAAGCTTCATCTGCCTGTGACTCAACTTACTCTTGGCTGTGCAGATGTAAATGGCATCATGTTGCCAAAACCTAAGGCTCCCACAATTCTTTTAAACTTATTAGATGTTCAGTTTTTCAGTTTGACCTGTGAGCTGGTCTAGAGGAGTTACATGCTTTAATGATTTTAAACTTTTATATGTATATACAAGTACCTTTCCTCCCCTGACAGCTACAGGGTTAAGATATTACAAGGAAAAAATCATAGTGTGTGTTTTTTCTAGCCAGAACTGGCTGATTTGGCTTATTTAGCAAGATCATTTTGCCAGACAAGCCGAGTATATACAGTATTCATTTTTCTATAAATCTGCAAAAATGTCTGCATATCATGAAATTAATATATATTATATTGATGATAAATAACTGATAGGATGGTCTTACCCATGTTACACAGTATTAAGCTATACTGTATTAGGTTATGTAAAGTTTAGCAATGTTAGGTTTGCTAAGTGAGTTTTGGTGAAAATCTAAAAAATTGTATAGAATACTATGTTTATTCTTAATATATCTATCAGGGTTAAAAGCAAAAAAAAAAAAGATTAACCCTTTAATTGGGCACAAAATATGTGTGCTATTGCCTGGGGAATGGAAAGTGATGTTTAAACAGTGTACACAAATTCTAGCAAGTTCAAATTTAATATGTGACAATTTGTTTCAGGCAGACATGTTTGGTCTTATGCACCAATTTTATATTTAGTAAACTAAATGTGTTTTGTGCCCATCCAGGGAGAATATTTGGCATGAGCATTGTATTTTATGTGGGGAGAACATTGGTGTCAGTTGTAAGTAAGTGTTCCAGACATCAAAGACTGATTAGTATAAAATTTTTATGGTCTGACAGTGATAGTAAAGAAAAACGGGTGTAAAATAAACATGCCAAATCACTCCCAGTATTGTACTAATGGGCACAGAATACCTTTACATGAAAAACTTGATAACATTTCATTGGTAAAAAAATGTTGCCCATGTGGTTTGTTTCACAACTGTTTGTTGAATTATTACTGCAAAGTGACTCTTTTTAATTATTACCTTGCCTCAGGGAATTCCAAACACTGAATTATTATTATGTTCATGAGGAAGCACTAAACCTGCAAGGGTTATATAGCATTTAGGTAAAAGGGGTGAAGTGGATGATGTAATTCAGTTTAATCCAAATATGGAAGAATAGCTCCATCTCTTTTGAACAGCCTTTTGCCAGCATCATGGTAGCCTTCTTGAAAAGATTAAACAATGAAATATTTAAAATGCTAAGAAAGCAGTTATAGTGTAATTAGATACCTGAGGAAAAAATTATTTGTATACAACTTTTTGGGTGTTAACATAAGATAGTGCCTTTAAATCACTAGGCTTAAAACCCATAAGTTTCTTCATCACAATTTTTATTATATTTTCTATATATTTTGCATGTTCTACAGTAATATTCCCCTCAAAGAAGGTTCCTTGGTGTCATTGAAGGGCTATTTATGTAAGGAATTGGATCTGCACACCCTAATCCTTGATCAAACCTAATTTCCTGCCATTCCTACAGGTGGTGTATGATTCTTATGGGTTTCTTGCTTCTCCTAAATATAACAGTAATAATACAGTATTATACAAAAAATACCACAGTTGCAAGGTTCCCCACTGATCCCAGTTAAAGGGTTAAGAAAATTTTCCTTGTAACTACTCTGGCTAAAAACACATTATACACACCTTATGCTATATATTATATATATATATATATATTATATATATATATATATAATATATATATATATATATATATATATAATATATATATATATATATATATATAATTATATATATATATATATATATATATATATATATATAATAATTAATTAATTAATTATAATTAATTAATTAATTATTGTGTGTGTGTGTCATGCTGAATAGGTACAACTTGCGATTTTGGCTTAAATAGTAATGCTCTTCTTGCTGAATAAAGCAAGAAAAACTTTGTGTGTGCAATGATTTCACAGAAGTCATTCTTAACCTAACAAAAAAATATATTTTATTGTGTTTGTTTTTTATTAAATTATTGTAAACGTATCTAAAATATATTTTAGTTGGATTGGGTCAAATTAAATTATGTTTGTTATAATAAGGTTAGGTAAGTTTTCTAAGGTTCTTTTGGTAAAAAAAAATTATTTTTACATTAACATAAATGAAAAAATATATCTTTAACCCTTAAACTGTCCAAACATAGATCTACGTTTTCACTGCTAGCGCCCCAAACATGGATCTACGTTATATTTTACGTGCTTTCAGATGTAAAAAAAAAAAACGTAGATCTACTTTCGATGCGCTAGCTGTGCAAACGTAGATCTATGTTTGGACAGTTTAAGGGTTATTTTAAATGAGTTTTTGCTAATTGACCAGTTTTACCTATTAAGCATGACATTTTTTTTTTTTTTTTTTTTTTTTTTCCCCAACAAGTTGGTCGTCTCCCACCGAGGCAGGGTGACCCAAAAAAGAAAGAAAATCCCCAAAAAGAAAATACTTTCATCATCATTCAACACTTTCACCACACTCACACATTATCACTGCTTTTGCAGAGGTGCTCAGAATACAACAGTTTAGAAGCATATACGTATAAAGATATACAACATATCCCTCCAAACTGCCAATATCCCAAACCCCTCCTTTAAAGTGTAGGCATTGTACTTCTCATTTCCAGGACTCAAGTCCGACTATATGAAAATAACCGGTTTCCCTGAATCCTTTCACTAAATATTACCCTGCTCACACTCCAACAGATCGTCAGGTCCCAAGTACCATTCGTCTCCATTCACTCCTATCTAACACGCTCACGCACGCTTGCTGGAAGTCCAAGCCCCTTGCTCACAAAACCTCCTTTAACCCCTCTCTCCAACCCTTTTGAGGACGACCCCTACCTCGCCTTCCTGTCCCTATAGATTTATATGCTTTCCATGTCATTCTACTTTGATCCATTCTCTCTAAATGACCAAACCACCTCAACAACCCCTCTTCTGCCCTCTGACTAATACATTTATTAACTCCACACCTTTTCCTAATTTCCCCTCTTCAAGGGGGGCTCCTTGGCGTGGTGAAGAGGCTCTTGGTCTGAGGAATTAGACCTATCGGTCTTCTTCCTCAGACCGAACCTAATTACCCCCAATCTCCCCTCCCCTATCCCATCCTCCCCTTTTTCCTTTCCTCCTCCTCCTCCCCACCCCTCCCTTTTGCCCTTCCTCTTTTTGTCCTTTGGGATTTCTCCCACAGGCGCGCTAGTTCCTAGGTAGGGGAAAGGATACCGGGGTCCATCCCATTCCGTTGACGTTCTTAGCGGTGGCGTAGTTTGCCGTGGAATCTGGATTGCCTGGGGATGTCCCGATCCCTCTCCGGTATCCCGGAGTAGCTTTGGGTGTCTTTCGGGCGACGAGTGTATCTCTGGAAGCCACCTTTCGGATTCCGGGGGTGGTGGCCGAAGGAGGTATGCTTTGTGGCGGATATCCGGCCGCCCTCTCTTTTGTCCACCGAGGTAGCTCGGGAGATGTGAGGTTGCTATCCCGGATTGTTAGTTTACTAGCATGATGGGTAGGGTATGGCACGGGTTCCATGCTGCATCTGCGCTACTTGCGGTGCTGAGTCCTTTTGGGGCACGGAGGGAGATTTCTGGCCCTTTCATTCCTCCTAGGAACTATCCCTCCCCGGTCCCCCCTTTTTTTATTCTTTTTTTTATTTTTATTTTATTTTCTTCTTTCTTTTTTTTTCTTAAAAACAAAAAGAAAGAAGTAACCTAACCATGGCAGCCCTAGTCCATGAACCTGGTACCCCCGGGCCCCTTCTTGATACCGCACCCCGTTCTGACCCCGCCTCGTCTTTGGACCGCTCTTCAGACATTCCTCATGCTTCTGTACCTATTGCCGGTGCTGTTTCCTCACCCGCTTCAGGTACTGAGGCCTCAACTGACTCCTTCGATTTATCGGACCTTCGCTCTCCTCTGACTATGCTTCCGGCCTCTCCCTCTATGGTGCGGCAATTTTCAAATCACCGACCCGTTCCACGTCGGACCAACTCTGGTCCCACACCTAAACGCCAATGACAATTACCTGCTGATGATACTTCTCCACCTTCTCGGTCTTCTCAGAAACGATCGACACGTCCTTCACTACCTTTCCACACTCAGTTTCAGACTGAACAATGGACTAAATTCTTCACTTTACGACCAACTTCCTCTACTGTCTATCTTTCTGACCATAGTATTGGCAAGGCACTCCTACGCCATGTTGGTAAAGATATTTCTTTTCATGCTCTTAAGAGCGGTACGCGCATCATTACCGTACAGGATGCTACCCAGGCTCATGAGCTCTCTCGTGTTTCCCATATCGATACTGTTCCTGTCACTCTTGAAAAACATCATTCCCTCAATTCTTGTAGTGGTACCGTCATTCTGCCCCATACCATAGTTCAACAAAATTTCCAGACATGTGGCACTGACATTCTAGAACAGCTGGAACTCCAAGATCTCCCAATCCTCAAGGTAGACACTTACGTTCTTCCTGCTCGTGGGCGGAGACGATACCCTAGCAATGTGGCTCGTTTAACTTTTGACAGCCGAGAACTCCCATCCTCAGTTTATATAGCAGGACATCGGTTACAAGTTCAAAAGGTGATCCTACACCACAACAGTGTAGAAATTGCTGGCGATTTTGGCCATCCAGCGAAATATTGCAGATCTATCGCCGAATGCCCAGTCTGTGGTGCCGATGACCATTCTAATACGTCTTGCAATCGATCTCCCTCTTGCCTTAACTGTCATGAGGCTCACCCTTCGTACTCTCGCCGTTGTCATGTCTATTTAAACGAGCGGGAAATCCGTTACCCTCAAAGAGACAGAAGGTCTCCCTTATGCCATGGCAGTTTCTCATCTCCGCCTCCAAGGGAGACTCCCACGTTTTTTCTTATTCCTGTGTTTCAAACGTCCCCCCACTTCGGGTATTCCATCTTCTACACCCACCTCTGTGGTTACCTCTCCCATAATCACTCCTGTATCTAATCCTTTTGCTGTCCTCGGCTCAGACGTCCCTACTTCAACGCCTCAGTCTAATCTCGCTTCTTCGAGTTCTCTCTCACAAGCCTCAGTATCGACGAGACCTCGTACGACACCTCCTCCCAATCGTCCCTCTACTTCTCAAAAGTCAAAAAAGGTCCGTTAACACCTCGTACCCATCTTCCAAACCCCCTCATTTTAACCTCCCTGTCTCTGTCCCTGGTTCTTCCCCTCTCACTGGCTCAGTTACAAGTGTAGAGGTTCACCCTCCTCCTCGTACTGTACCTTCCTCCCCTGTTCCCTCCCAAGTTTCTTCCTCTTCTGCCACCTCCCAGGTTCCTGCCTCTTCTGTCCCCTGCCACGCTTCTCCAGTTCCCTCCACCCTTTCGCCCCCCCCTACCTTGGTACAGTCCAATACAGTTCCAATCTTTACTCATCCTCCCCCTACCATTCCCAATATTGTCTCCCATACGACATCTCTGAATTCTGAAACACTTGAAGCAATCTCTGAATATATTGCAGAGACCAAACCATCAATGGACACTGATCCACCTTCCGCTCTTTCTCTCTCCTCTGCTCCATCTGCGCAACTCCTTTCTTCACAGCGCACCGTTCCTTCGCTGCTTGAAATTTTCCACTGCCTCCGCATGTGGACTTTTCTAACCCTTCTAGTCCGTAGGAACCCTTACCTGCGGATTTCAAGTATCTTTATCATTGCCAATCATGGCCTATTTACAGTGGAATACACGCGGCCTCAGGGGTAATCGGGGTGAGCTTCAGATGTTATTCTCCCAGTTTGCCCCTGTTGGTGTTTGCTTACAGGAACCAAAATTACACTCTGCTGTTATTTCTCACATCTCAGGCTATAATTTATTGTATTCTTCAGATCCTTTTCCTGATGGGACCTTTAATGAAAGTGCCCTTCTTCTCCGCACTGATATTCCGTACCATCAGCTATTTGTTCATACTTCGCTGCATTACACAGCAGCCCGTATCCACTTACATAGGTGGATATCGCTCTGTCATTATATCTCTCTCCTTCTCGGGCATTATCTATTCCGGATTTTGCCTTCCTTGTTTCGTCATTACCGCCACCGATTCTGTTACTTGGTGATTTTAATGCCCACCATTTCCTCTGGGGGGAGGGTCTCACTGTGATTCCCGTGGAATTCAGTTAGAGGCTTTTCTTGCCACCCACCCCCTCCATGTTTTAAAATACAGGTACTCACACCCATTTTTATCCTCGGGCTCATACTCTCTCTTGCATCGATCTCTCAGTCTGCTCTTCCTCCGCCGCATTAGACTTCACTTGGTCTGTTCTCCCGGACTTACATGACAGTGATCATTTCCCAATCATTCTTACTTCCCCTTCATAATCCGCCACCATCTACGCACCCCACGCTGGCAATTTAATCGGGCAAATTGGAACCTTTACTCACACATAACTGTTTTTAAAGAGGTTCCTTCTTCGTCCTCCATCGATCAGCTTTTACACCTCTTCTCGTCCTCCGTTTTCACCGCAGCTTCTCATTCTATACCCCAAACTTCGGGCAGTCATTCTCAGAAATGCGTGCCTTGGTGGTCTCCTGCTTGTGCTCATGCAGTACGTTTGAAACGCGCTGCATGGGGCAGGTACTGGTACAATAGAACCACAGAGCGACTCCTTGATTTTAAACAGAAGCGTGCGATCGCTCGCCGTGTCATCCGTGATGCTAAACACACTTGCTGGTAAGATTATGTCTCCACCATCACCTCTGCTTCCTCTATGAGTGCAGTCTGGAAGAAAGTACGAAAACTGAGTGGTAAATATTCTCCTGACCCGGCTCCTGTTCTGCGGGTTGCCGGTGTTGATATAGCAAACCCACTAGATGTTGCCAATGAAATTGGCAATCATCTGGTCCGTATTTCTCAGGGACTCCATCTATGCCCCTCATTTCTTTCCTCAAAGTCTGCCAGAGAGTTAGCACCCTTGGACTTTTCTTCTCTCTGAGAAGAACAGTATAATGTGCCTTTTACACTTCAAGAACTGAGGCAACACTCTCAGCTTGTCGATCATCGCAGCTGGGCCCGACGACATTCATATTCGTATGCTACAACATTTACATCAGTCAGCCCTTGCAGTCCTATTACGCCTTTACAATCTTATTTGGTCACAAGGAGTTCTTCCACAGCTGTGGAAATCCGCCATTGTTCTCCCTTTCCGCAAACCAGGCACTACGGGACATGAAACCTCCCACTATCGTCCCATTGCTCTTACCAGTGCAGTTTGCAAAGTAATGGAACGCCTAGTAATAGACGTTTAGTGTGGTATTTAGAGACACACAACAGTCTCTCCACTCGTCAATATGGCTTTCGTAAGGGACGTTCTACCATAGACCCCTTACTACGCTTGGATACGTATGTTCGTAATGCCTTTGCGAATAACCACTCAGTTTGCCATATTTTTTGACCTTGAGAAGGCATATGACACAACTTGGAGGTATAATATTTTAGCCCAAGCCCACTCCTTAGGCGTTCGAGGCAATCTACCATCCTTCCTTAAGAACTTTTAACTGACAGCATTTCCGTGTTCGGGTTAATAATGTGCTCTCCCCGACTTTATCCAAGCTGAAGGTGTCCCCCAGGATGTGTTCTGAGCACAACACTTTTCTCTCCTTGCTATTAATGATTTGCCTCTAGTCTTCCATCAAATATTTGGTCATCACTCTATGTTGATGACTTCGCTATTCCTGTGCAGGCG